GTAGAAGAAGAAAATGATAAGCATAAAGGTTAAAACAAATATAAATATTAAGAAAAAGATGAGGATGAGGATACCGATAAAAGTAAAGATGAAGATAGAGGAAGAAAGACTAAAATGAAGGTAATTATAAAGAAAAGGATATAGACTCAACCTGGGAACTATTTCGGGATGTTCGGTATTCTCGGGAATTATCGATATAGTAATAGATATTTTTTGGATTTTTTATCGATATTTTTACCAATTTGAGTATCGATATTTTTACAGGATTTTTGTCGATATTTTTATCGATTTTTTTTTATCGATATTTTTTATTGATTTTGTTATCGGAAAACAAATATGAAGACCAAGGTAAATTTAAATACTTTACTTTTATGAGAACAATAGAGCTTAAAGAAAAAAATAAAGATAAAGGAAAGCAAATTAACATAAATGTAATTAGAACACAAAGGGTAGAGGTTTAATAAAACACAAAACTACAAATACAAATAAATCGCACATTGGACAAATATAATAAATTACCTTAATCAAATCTACTTTAATCTCTACCATACCTAACCACGATCATTTTTCCAATTATAATAGTTCTCAGGATATTCAAAAAACAGTCTATGCAAAATCCCGGATATCGTAAAATTTAGAATTTCACACACATTTCGAAAAAAATCGATATTTTTTGCCGTTTGGGGGAACTTTGTTATATGGTAAAAGAAAAGTTCCAACCAAAATGCATCCAACTTAAAAATGGTCGATTCCAACCACTGGTCGATTTAACATGGATGGGCCCGTATAGAATAAGAAAATTCTTCGTTCTTCTTCTCGATTGGGGCTGTAACCACCTAAGACGTTATGGCCAAGTCGAATAAAACACGCCAACTGGTTATTCCATGGCAGAGAAGGCCTTTCTCTTGTTTAGCTAACACATGTCGGTTCCGAGATGAATACTTTCATGGCTGAAGCGTTTTTGTCCACTCGTATGACATGACCAAGTCAGCGGAAACGCTGTAGGTTATTTCGCTGCAATATGTCTGTGTCGTTATAAAGCTTAATTTGCGCAGAATTTTTCTCTCGAACATTTCATTATCCATGGTATTAATAATAGTTTCTAAATAAACAGAGTCCTCTACTTTTTCGAAACCACAGCGTATGCACTGACTGATTGTTTGATGACACGAGATACTTCGTCTTACCATCAGACCCATTCGTTTAGTTTTCATATCCACTTTGGAATAGGCAGAAAGGACGAAGCGTTTGCGAGACGTCAGCATTAAAGCATGATCGAAGGCGACTACAAAATCTACAAATAAATGGTGTGTGTCGGTCCTCTTTTCGCGAATCTTCCAGGTGAATGTCAGGTTTGTAGCGAATTTATCATGTCTAAGTCCATATTAATAAGGTACAATTAGTTTTTTGACGACGGGCTTTATTTGGGCTTTCAAGCAATACAGAGCACACCAAAAACTTAAATTCCAGTGGCAGAAGATGCGTTCAGCCGACCGTATTATGTATAAGAACTGATCACCTACTCGCCGCCGTACTTGAGTAGCTCAGTTTGCAGATCGCCAGCTCCAGCAGCTTTCTTGTTTTTTTTGTGCTTCTGTCTCGAAATTGCCATTATTACCTCGCCATAGCCATAGTCGATTCCGCCGTCTTCGGCTTTCCTCGCCTTACATATATCGATCCTACGTAAGTATGTAGCTCACGTTGTGCCCGCTCGCAGCATGGTCCTGTAAGCGGCATCTTTTTCCCTGCGTCTTATCAACCGAGGTCGTTCCTTGCATGGCCTGACGCAATTTTTTTTTCTGCGCAGATGCGTGTGCGTATCTTGGCTGCAGCAAAATACGGATCGGGATTGATCTTTGACCCTCGGAGTATACGTTCATACAAAATACTAAAAGCGTGCCTTCCCCTTCCGTCGGCGGTAGCCATGTAGCTTTACGGATCTGTTTATGCTGGAACCTAGTGCTGCAAACCTCGTCGTAAAAGCTGATTTTTTAGACGATGGAAGGAAAAGTCCCTTTCTTGTACACCCTGGCATTGAAATGGCCAAGCATGATTTCGATATCGTGACATGAGCAGCGTTCGTAAGTGAGCTCTATACGATCTTAGAAAAGGTCTTTCGCACCCTCTTTCTATCCAGCCGGAGTGAGAACGCAAATAAACGTGGCGTGGAAGAATCTTTCTTTGACGCGGATTTACAGTATTCGGCGTCTCAAAGTCGCTCCTTTACATGACAGCTGTGGTAGTTAGGCGTGGGAAGGTCCCTCGTATTTCTTGCCTTTAGCCGTCGAACGCATTTCTCTGATGGCGTTGATGTCGTTATGGGTGGATTAAGGATAGCAACGCAACCTCTATTGGGTTGCCGAAGGCCAACGCGACTGAAATGAAATGAATATTTAAGTGTTATAAAGTTGCAACTCAGCTTTCAGTTGCCAATTGCAATCTGTAATATAATTTCAGCCACTGGCAACGCAACTAAACATCGGTTGCCGTTGGTAATCGATTCATTAGTCTTCTTCAGCACAACAACCAGATATTCCTCATTAAGAATCCGGACATTGCAGGTACATGCCCTCAAATCAAATCGTAATCAAAAGGAAGCACCCACATCCAAAGCAATTTGGGCCTTTTCTTTGAACTTTGTTTTACATGGCAGATCACAAACCCAGCACACAACCATAACCTGAGGCAATTTTTTAGTTCAGTACCTTTTTCGCTGACAACATAGAAGGCCTAGAGAACTTTAATTGACCGATTCAGAATCAGCATAAGAAAATCTTTCTAAAATCTTTTTAAAAATCGAAATTTCTGTATGAGCTCGATATTTATGCACAATTATGCAAGGTAAGGTTTAGGTAAAAATAAAATGTGGCAAAAGAATCCAACCAACACACATTAGTATGTAATAGTTAAAATTTTTTATTTTTGTAATTTGAAAAAAGTGTGAGCGTGTGTTTATTTGTGTGAATTAGTGATTTTATTTATACATTCATATTTTATGCTTTTATGTATATTAAGTAAATATTTTTTTTTATTTAATAAATATTACATTATACTATATAATATATTAATAGTTTGCTGCTTGCATTTTTATTTGTTTTTGAAAATTTTTGCTTTCCATTTTTGCATTTACATTTTATCCTGAATGCATAAATGCACACAAGGGAAATTATAAATATTATTTGAATAAATAATTTAAAATTAATGTTGTATACACTTTTTATTTTAATTTTTCTTGTTAAATAGTAATTTGTAAATTATTAGTAGTAAATAATTTGTGCCTAAAAAACGCACAAAACGTACGAAAAAGAGTACCAACACGACACGATCGTTATTACTAACACAGTGGTAGTAGATATTTACAAGAATTATAAAATCAATAACTGCTGAGCGACTTAATTTTAAATTCCATTGGATAGCTTAGAAAATTTGAATTTCTTTTATTTAATATAACCGGCCAAAAAGCTCCTAATACAAAAGCATTAATCTGTCAACCTTGGCCAAAGAAAAATAATTGAATGTGTTTAGTTTTACATTTTATTTTAATTTTCTATTCAAACTCTGCGTTTAAACTTAATTTGCTTGTGTAGTAGTTGTATTGTTGTTGGTGTTTGAATTGTACATTTTTAAATTGTTTATACTTAATGTTTACAAAATATTTATAATCTGCTTTTCGTTTGCTTTCCAATTAACATTTTGCATGAATATTTGTATGTATGTATATTAGACCGTACCAGAAAAAAAAGTCCGTAAGGCCATTCCTTTCTTTTTTGTATGGAGTGGCATTAATTGAAGGGCTTCTTCTTCCGCTACCCATAGAACAAGTTCGGCAAGGGCTTTCATGTGACGTACTTCAGAAGGCCTTTTGGAGGGGTTCTTTTAAAGTTGCTTCTTTATTTTATAAACATCATACTTCTTTGAAGTGTTTGATTAAGGTTTATATCAAATATGTGTTATCGCAACTTAAAATGTTTATTGAAATTCATTTGTAATGCTATATATAATATAAATTTATGCATTCGCGTAAATTGTAAATGAATAAGCCCTTCTAGAAGGCATGCAAGGAACACTTATTTCAGCCTTTCTTATGTAGGCCTCTTAGAATGGCTTCACTTAAGAAGGCCTACGTAAATTATCTTCTGGGCACTGTAGATTCAGGGGTGTATGACGAACTCTTTTTTGTTTGCTTGTAAAGTGGTATGGTCGAATGTACATATGTATATATGTACAAGCAGTAGTTGCGCCATGAATTAGGAAAAATGGAGATGATTGAAATGATAATCTAAAAATAAGTATTTATTTTTTGGTTAATTTTTGTTGATTTAAATATATGTAAATAGTTTAGCTAGGGTTGCACCGTGAAAACGGCCCTCGGAAGTGAGTATGTATCAAAAAAATGATGAGTTCTGTGAAAAATCAGTGTCATCTTGTTTTAAGCGCATTATTCACATTTATTTATTTTTGAAGTCTTCAAAATCGATTTTTTTTTGTTGTCTTAGTGCTTATAATTCTATGCACAACTATTTTATGTTGGAGTAATGGGTATACAAAAACGGGTTTATTTAATTTTTTGCTGCAAGTATGTAGTATTTTGTGGTGTTTTATTTATAAATATAAAATTTTAAAACAATTTTGTTTGTTTTATTATATTACAACTAACTTGCGATTGTTTCAAGCATTGACAAAATGTATAAACATTTTTTATATCGTAGGTTTAACGCTTTATCTCAACTTTTTCTTGCTTAAATTTATTGTAATTTTTTTATAATTATTTGCTGATAATACTTAATGTTTAGGGTAAATTTTTAATTTAATACTATAGCCAGTATAAAGCGCTTGGCAAAAAGCGCTCTCGTTATTTTAATTTCGCTGCATATTGCCCAAGTCATTTCGCTTGGCCAGGATAGGCGGAAAATGCATTATTTCGATTTTTATGTAACGTTTCCATTTTATTTATTTTTTATTATTTTATTATTATTTAGAAGAGCTAATGTGTTATTTTTTTATGAACATATACTTTTTCATATTTAACTTTTTTTGATTGATATTTTAAAAACCAAAAAGAGTAAAAATTAAAAGCCGATGTGCCAAACGATGTTTTATGCAACCATTCAAGTGTTCTAAATCATTCCAATAGTAAAAATAAATTAAAATATTAATAAATAATTTTTTTTTTTTTTAACTAAAAATTGCTCATTTTTCTTAGCGAATTTGTAAACGATAAAAGACAGTCGCAACATATTACATTTAGTGTTTTAGTTTCGCAAAAGCTACATATAAAGCAGAAAACTGGAAATTTTTGTAATGGCAACGCTTTTATAACGCGAAGCTCAAAATCATAGATATTGTGCGACATTAAACATTAGCCAAAAAATAATAATAAAGAAATTAGCAAAAGGTAAAAAGGGAAAATTTTATAAAAAAAAAAATATATTATATATATGTAACAATAAACAAACAATAAAAAAAACATAAAGTCCAAATACTGCTTCGTTTTTGCAAGCAAATTTTCCCGCCTCACGCATTTGAAGGTAACAACGAAATTTTCTGGTTCACATAAATTCACTAAATGCAATTTCTCAGTGTTTTGTTTCCCTGCGTAAGATTCAATTATAGAACTGGCCAACTTTTGCTTTCATCACTTCAAATAATTGAAAAAGTTGAACTCACTAAGTAGAATTTCTTTTCTGTGTTGCCGAAGAAGAGGGGCTGAACACATTTTGCAGAGAACGCCTTTCTGCACAGCACAAATTTTAAGACTTTTAAATTAGAAAAGGAAAATATCTGCAAATGAGCTGCACATTTTACATTGCATACACATGTTGCGACATTTTGACATAGGAATTTAAAAATGCACATTTTCATAATAATTTCATAGTAATAATTACAAAAAAAAAACAATAACTGCATATTACGACTTAACAAATTAAGAAGTAAATTTCATTATCCGCTTAAATATATTTAATAATATTGCCTTAAAACATAATAAATGTATTACACGAATACAATCTATACATACAAGTCTAAGGTTAGTAAAAGTTGTTGTAACTTAAAAAATAATTGATAAACATTGTTTTAGTGATAATATGTAATAATAATAATAATAATAATAATAATAAAATAATTAATAGAATATAACAGAGAGAACATATTTAAGTTGCAATAAAAATACTTTTTAGTGTGTGTTTTTACTTTAGTTTATGGAACTAAAATTTCAACAATGAAGTGTACATATGTGAAATGCAGACAAATGCGTCACATTCGAACAAAGCGGTAAAATACATTTATACCATAAATAAAAAATAGTTCGCTTAATTTGTGACATAATTTCCAACATCGTTTCGCTATATGCATACGCGTACATACGTATGTGTATACTCTTTTCTTCAACTACAAACCACCGGGGAATGCAAAAGTTATGCATATTCAAACAAAAGTCATTCACAAAAACAAACCTACGAAATTCAACGCACAACAAGCGCTTGCCTCAAGCAAAGCACATACTAGCGAAAACTACGCATTATTTGAAACGTCGCAGCGGCAATGTAGGACTCTCTGGTGGTGTGCTGTTCATTTGCAAAGCGCTCTTCTTTGGCACGTTCACACTTTTGAAAGGCGCACCCAATTTGCGTACACCGCGCGGTGATGATGAGCTATTCGTTGCTGCCTCCATTGCGGCCGTAGTAGATGCTGAAGCAGAGGGCGCCAGCCCGGTGTGCATTAACTCTTTTGTGTTGGAATCAATGGAAGCCTGAACCCAACCTATTGGCAAAGATATTCACAAATTTACAAATAAGAAATATTTCAATTAAATTTTACTCAAAACTAACTCACCCTTAATAGACGAGCGATGGTGATCGATTAAAGCAGCTGCTAGAGGCGCCACTGCGCCAGTATCTCGCAATGTGGCATATGTGGACACAGGCATTGGGTTGTAGATGCGATTTGCAAAGTCCTCAAATGTGGTGCTCTCCTTGTAGCGCGATGAAACACTTTCCAAAGAGCGATTGCGCTCCTCATAACTGCAAAAGCACAAAAAGAAAAAACATTTCAATAAAACCGTTTACTTGGTAAAACAATGAATATATGAGTTACTCACTATTGCTGGAAGAGCGGCATAGCTGCGCGTTTGGCGCGACTCGCATTAATAGCAGTGGCACGTATTAGCGTGGCCAAACATGCACCGGTTACTACACTTTCATTGGCCAGAGGTCCAAACCACGGCACCTCCGGCTTGCGATTCACAGTCACTCGGAAGAGTCCATTCTTCAGCGGATAGACTACAATTAGCACATCACAAAACTCTGTCGGCAAAATATCGCGTCGATAATCACGATAATGTTCGCTCCATACAATGTGCACTTCATCGTTGCCGAGATGTCGTGTCTTCAGCAATAGATTTTCGGGGGAATCGGAAGGCATTCGCGTAGCCACATGATAGATCACCTCCAAGAAGGGTGTGGCATAGTAGGGCGCAGTGGCGCCACAACCCTGACGCGGTAAACCACCCAGAAAACCGTTGTGCGTTTCCAAATCGATTTCCCAGCCAAGCGCAGAGACGAACATTTCATAAGTGCTGCTGCCGCTCGCATTGTTCAGTATGCTACTTTTGTCCTCCTGACCGGAAGCCACATAGATTACTGCCATTTTGTGTGTCTCGCGACAGCGTTGTTGATCCACATTTCGCAGTTCGCGGAGTAGTTTTTCGGTGCGTTGCAGCAAGTGCGTGCGTGAACGTCTTTCCCAGCCCGCCATACCGAGGTGGGAGAATAGCAACCGACAATACTGGAACGGAATTTCAGTGCGGCCTGTGAGGCTAGTTGTGTTGTACGACTCGAAAGAGGCATGTGAAGCATGTTCGGCTGAATGAATGGAACGTTGATCGTGATGCAACAGCGAGGCGTTGTTCAAGCCGCTTTGTAGTGTTTGTTGATTTAAATTTGAGATGTATTCCTTCTCGAGTGCACGTTGATTGAGTATAATGGAAATGGTTTGCGCCTCCAGGCTGGTGCCCAGCGGACTGGGGCCGGGCGTGTTGAGTTGCGCCAGTGGATTCGTCAAGCATTCAGGACTGGTGTGGCCTATGTAGGCCAGTAGCTGTAAAGAAAAAAGGAAAAATATATATATAATTGAAATACTACTGGCGCATATGATTTATTTCCGCTCACATCGTCAAGCTGGTCGAGATCAGGTGCCAGATCCTTAGCTAGGGGCAGCTCGCCTGCAGGTCGGTGTCGCAAGGTGTGCCGCGGCGCCAAAACATCTATCCCAATCATTGAGGATATCAGCGAATCCATCGGCTGTGACATGTTTCGATGTTGTGGCGTTGTATTGAAACTGCGTTGCATACTATCAGCGGCGCGCTCTCCACTTGCCATAGCACCGCCAATTAGTACTGAAGAGGCACTGTCGCTTGTGAGGTTTTTTATGCTCTTACGCGGTTCGCTGTATAATATCGACGCATCCCAACACGCTTTCCCGTTCAAATCGCGCAACAACACACGCACTTGTTTCTCCGCCGTTATCAGTCCGGCAGTCGCGCCACCACCGGGTAACTTCAGCGCGGGCAGCTCAATAAAACTGGCCACCAAGCCGGAGCTTAGCATAAATAGCTGCAGATTCTGTGCATTCAATACCGAAGGTAGCTCAACTGAGTCCCGGCGCGCTTCGCCAACACTGCCGCCACCACCTTGACCGCTTGCATTCGTTGCTACATCGTCCTGCTCTTCTACCATTGAGCTCAATCTTGAGGCGCCGATGCCCATCGGAAAATGCCCCAAGTGTGTTACCAAATGCATTGCGATAGCCTTTGCGCACATCTTGATCGCGCTAATGCACGCCTGTATCGTCTCCGAAGTCTGGTAGTTCGCCTCAGGAAGTTTGCCATCCAACTGCAGATCGTCGCTGGAGATGTGCGTATCGAAGTCATCGTCAGCGGTCAGCTTTACGCGTTCATGCCGTGGCGCACCCGAAGCAATTTGCATTAAAACACGCAACACCAACAGCACCAACGTGTCGCCACGATCGTTTAGCGGCGCTAGCATTAGCGACGCTGGGAACGACATGCAATATTCGCCGAGACACAGCATTAGCGAGGTAAGCACAACCTTGTCAGAGTCCTTTGGGTTCGTTACATTTTGTATTTCCAGAGCTTTACATATCGCCGTGATAATTAGCTGCGGCATCCGCTCAATAGCCGCTAGCTCGCGGCCGCGCTCAGCGCATAATTTCAGGGCGTCAACTGCCACAATTGCAATGGTGCGATGTTTGAATTGCAAAGCCTGCAGCAACACCTGCAGTGCTTCCCGTATGCGCGGATTGAAATGTGGCGATTCGCGCGGATGCACGCCAGGCGGATGCGGAATTGCTTGCTGGAAATAGCCACGCGAACGGCTACTCGATTGCAATGGTTGCGATAGTTTCAGCAGAATCCACTGGCCGAGCTGTGAGAGGGCTATACAACGTGCCTTGGCGGAGGGTTCGCGCCGCGCACAACGTAACACAATATTGAGAATGTGATCTTGCAGATCAGGACACTCCATCAGCTCGAATATCTGTGGCGACGGTTGCAGTACTGGGCGCGGTATGAGTGTTGATGGGTAGCAGAGGAGCGAGCCGAGCAATGCGGCTACCTCGGCGCGCGGTGTGGTGCGATTCGCCTCAAGCGAGGTGAGTAGTATCGCAGAAGCGTGCACGATGTCCAGTAGTAGCAGTGTGTGACCGGGTAGCAGAAGACTCAAGAAACGCGGTCCCTCCAGATGTTTAAGTATCGCGTAAATCAAATCGCGGTCCTCACCAGTTAGCAATTTGTGTATTGCGTGATAGAAAATGGGTAAGTGGTGCATGCCCGAAACAGCGCCATGCACCGATAGCGAGCAAAGTAGCTGTAGCGCCAAGAGTTTGCCTTTCTTGAATGACTTGTCCAACTCTAGCGCGCCATAGCACCATGGCGCCACTATGCCGATGGGCGGCACAAGTGTAGGAGGTGGCGGTGTGCTTTGATTGTCCGTGGAAATGCCCTGATTCTGTTTGATCTTTATCAAATTCGTCGTCATATCGAGTAAGTGCTTGAAAACTTGTGCGTGCAGTTCAGCTTTCGGTATACGATTCACATCGCCAAGCGCGCCCAGCATGCGTTTCCACATTATTGCTGTTGAATCGGGCAACCAGCCAGTTGCCGTACCGCCTAGTATAATCGAACGTCGCTCCGAGCCCAGAAAACTGCCTGAGCTGCCCTCTTCCAAGCTGCCACTATCCACTGCCAGCACATCGATTTGCATTTGGGCGTCTTTAATGGAGCTGCCCTCAATGCCACTGCTTGCCGTTGGCGATGGGCTGCGCGAATCGGCGCCGCTTTCGTTATCTTCGCCATCGAGTACATCTTCATCGTCGTCGCCTTGTGTAGAGCTACGTTGGCGGCGCTTTCGACCACGTTGGCGCCCACCGAAATTCGCTACCGAATCCAGCGACATTGCGCGTCGCATGTCGTTGTGTTGCTGTGTTGTATGCCCAAGTGTGCCGTCGCCAAAGCGACGCGCATTCAACGTCTCAGAGCTGAACGATAATTCAATCGTCGACTGTTGGGAGAGCATTGCGCTCAGAGAATGCTCAACATTTGTTGGTAGTGCTGGTGGGGCACCTCCTACGATCTGCTGCGTATTACGTTGACGTCGGCTGCGCATGCGCGAGTTACGCGCAACAGAAGCCAAGCTGCCCTCACTGTAGCTGCGACTCAACAACGGCGTAAGCACAGCGGCAGCCTGCCCAGTGCGTAATGTTGCGCCGCCGTGCGAGTGCATGCCATGGCCACCACTGCTCAAGGAATGCTGATGGGTGTGAATTCGGCCACCGCCGCCCATGTTCGATTGCTCATCCGAGCGACTGCTATTCGATTCGCGCTCACGCTCGATCCCCATATCGCGATCACGGTTCTCTTTCATGGTATTCACGGCAGAGCCACTTGATTGCTGCCAAACGCTGCCAAAACGACGGCGTTTGCCTTTGCTTTCAGCCAGCCGATCCAACGGCAGATCCTGCAAATTCAATGCATACACGTAACGCGAGAAGACGCGTGTCAGCGTTTGTATTGTTTTATCCCACTCGATGATCAGCTCGTCACGATATGTAAGCGAAGCGAGCACTGCGAGGAATTTCTCCCATAGCTGCACATTGACGGGCACATTGGTATGCGCGCGTATCCATGTAACGATAAGCGTCTGAAAAATAGCCTGGCCAAGAATGCCGCCCAAGCTAGAACTTTTCGATCCCGAAGGATTCTGATGTAGCACAATCGAAGTTACCTGCAGCAAGACCAGCAACAGCTGCTCCCAAGTTTTCGGTTCCATGCGCGTATTCATCACCATTGTGCGGTAGACATTCAGTACCTTCTTGCACACCTCTGTCTGCTCGTGTAGCGGCGTTGAGCGGTAATCGCGTGACTTTGTGGGAAAGTAAATATTTAGATGACTGGTGTTGACAAGGAACACGTTCGCGGCATTTGTGACAAATATTTGAAGAACGTTTTGCAAGCCAGCGCGCACTGCTACATTCTCCTTGCTCATTGCACCAACGTAGGAAGGCGTGCGCAAGCGTTGGCTGCGCGGTGTGCTGCCGGCTGAGCTGTTATTTGGCAGCAGCGCATTACCGGTGCCATTGTCGTCCGGTTCAAGCAGAAATTGTGGTGGCGTACTGCCAGTCATCCAGTCGCGATACACCGCTATTGCAGTACGTATAGCATCAATTTGCAATTTCGTTGTAAAATTCAGCAAAAACGCTTGGCGATAAACCTCGTGCACAAAGTTTATATTTTCACGCGTTGAGTACAACACATCGCGCACAATTAAACTCTGTTGGTAGGCGCGCAAGCGATGTCCTTCGTTGATGTGCATATTGTCGAGGCGATGATTCATTGTGCGCTCGTGCGTGAAATGTGAAATCCAATTAATCAGGACTACCACGCATGATGACATCACCTCCTCCTTTTTGTTAACCGAACGCATTGTGGGCAATTCAAGGTGCGGCTCATACACGGACATGCTGAAATCAAAATTGGGACAGAAGATTGATAGAAATACATCCTTGAAACGTTGCAGTAAAAATGCAAATGCTTTGTGCTCCTTTTGCGAACGATTGTCGCGCCAGCGCAGACAAGCAACCGTCTGCAACATGCTATTTAGTAGAATCTCCAGGCCATCACGTGGATCGGGTGGAGCTGACTTTTCATTCGATGAGGGTGGCAATAAGGCTACAATATCCGAATTCTGCACTGGATGGGAGGTATCATGGAATACCGAAGTGGTGCCACCCTCAACTTTCATATTCGGATGACTGAGAAAATCAGTCGCACTGAACTCGAGATCCGGGCCGATAATGCCCTTCTGCGGCACAATCAGGCCCGGTATTAGGTCTGCGTACATGGAATGTACATAAGATGGAGCATTTTCACCCAGCGCCTGGTACCACAATAGAAAATACCTAGCGGAAGAAGAAGAATACAAGAAGATTAGTAAAGTAATTTACGAAAAAAGAAGTTAAAAAACGTACCGTACGCCTTCGCGCCGCAACTTTGGCGAATTCCCCAAATGCAATAACTTGGCCATAATACGACTGATCGAATGGCATTGCCAACGACGCGCCAACAGCTCGGGCAGCCAACAGAGTATTTTCTCCAGTAGCCATAATGAGCCATCCAATTCCTCGCGATGTGCTTTATGTACTAAATTGTCAAATGTAATTATTTTGTATTGATTAGCAATTTACTTACATAGAGAAAATATAGCTTAGAATTAAAACAAAAGTTATGCATTGTACAGCAGGCAAGCAACAACACATATTCCATGTTAGCACTTATGATGAACATTATATAATATTTGCTCAGTGAGTCGTGTACAGTGGCGAGACAAATTGGATAAAGATACTCTTAAAATGTTTGGATGAATATGAGATATATAATAGATTGCGAAAGCATGTGAGATGAAAATTTTCAATAATAAGATTTAGTAAATGTACAATGCCGGAATAGAAAATATTTGTGTTTTAAAAAAAAAATTTGTATATGCTCGAATCAAAATATTTGTCACATATAGTATATATTACTTATGTACACCCCGATTCACTTTAATAGGCCCATTANGGATGAAAATTTTCAATAATAAGATTTAGTAAATGTACAATGCCGGAATAGAAAATATTTGTGTTTTTAAAAAAATATTTGTATATGCTCGAATCAAAATATTTGTCACACATAGTATATATTACTTATGTACACCCCGATTCACTTTAATAGGCCCATTATCCGAGTTTCATTATCCGAGGCTTCAATATCCGAGTTTATATGCATATGAACAAATCTCACGAGTTGTTAGATGGTGGCACGCTTATCTTAGACAATGCATTATCTTCAGTTATGCATAAATAACAATATTCCACCGCGAAATTGTTTTTAAATGAAAACTTAAAAAAGATATACTACATATAAAAGTCGTAAAAGCGCGTGCTCATATACCCGTAGTTGTGTATGTATAAAAAGTGAGTGCCTGGTGTTCTGTATTTAATGGGCCATATGAATAAAAACTAAGCAATTGCTTATTTTTATTCATACGGCCCAATATTTGCAATGCTTTTCAAGTTAAATATTTTTTTTTTGATATTGTTATTGAGCTTGGTACCACGATTATGCATATTAGGGAAAATGTAAAAACCAACAAATTTCAAGCGGTAGAAGTTATAGCAGCTATTTCGGAAATCACCACATCTCCTCATCAGACTTCTTTTTTCTAGACTTAAAATTTGTTTGTTATTTTTTTTATAAAAATATGGTTTAGGCTTTAGTCAAAACCATACAAGTCAAACTTCCAAACTTTATACAGAACTTATAAAAATTCAACGAAATTTCGTCTAAATTTTTAGCTTTTTATTCTGAATATTTACAAAAATTTTGAAGATGTAGTTAGATCGGTTTTTTAATTCTATTAAAACAAGTACAAATTTTAAGCGACTAAAAAATCGCGTTGACTTTCAGTGATTTTTTATTGCTGACGGCTTTTTGCACTTTTTGCAATATAAAAGGGAATTTCTTGTAGAATAAAAGGCGCATGACCGTTTACAAACAAAATTAAAAAAATTAACGCTTAAAACTTGATCTGGTTTCACTAGAATTAAAAAACCGATTTTTCTGCGTACTCAACATTTTTTTTTTTTAATTTAGATTAAAAAGGTCAAAATTTAGACGAAAATTCGTCGAATTTTTCTAAGTTCTGTATGAGGTTTCAAAGTTTGACAGATGTGGTTTTAGTTAGTTTAGTTTTCATAAAAATAAAATTAAAAAATTATAACTTGAAAAACATTGCAAGTATTATACAAAAAACACCACGTTTGTTTAATTTGGTGGCACACTAGTTTTATTACACTAGATTAGTTCGTTTTGGCAAGAACATTTTCACCGTTTAATTTTAAAATTTTGAAGTATCTTAAATTACAAAATAGCTGCGAAAGATATTCTGCATAATAATTGGTGGCACACTCGTGAAACTTCACAGAAATGTTGTATTTGATGGCNTCTGCTATTATTTTTTTTTAATTGGTGGCACACTCGTGAAACTTCACAGAAATGTTGTATTTGATGGCAATGTCCATTGCCTTTAATATAAATATTCTATTTAAAAATTTTCCAAAGTTATTAATTATTCTTGTACTTGTTCCTGGAAACTTAGCAGAAGAGAAGAAATTGGCAACGTTTTTTAGTCTCGTCCAAGTCAGCAATCGGTTGGTATGCGCCAAATAAGACTAATAAAAAATGTCTTCTATTTGTATATATTTGCTAAGATCGATTTGGATTTTTTGGACTGTAACGATTTGTGATTTGTTATTTTACAATTGAAGGTTAATTGATTGATCACTACTCTATAACAATTATAAGCCGTAAAATAATTAATTTGAAGCCTTTGCAACAGAAAAAAATTGCTAGTGCAACACGAGCTGAAATATATTTTCGGACGCGATTACTCTTTTTCAACTCGAAAGCAAGTTGGTTGGAACAGTTGGGAAAATAGGTATATTGTGCCCTTAGCTCACCACAATACCACAACCAGCCCTAAAGACTTTATAAATTTCAGAATAGATGCCGTGGGTAGGAAGTGGATGTGCTCCTCTCTATGGTATAGATGTCCTATGCACCTCTCCCTTCTACGTGAAACGGTCGCACACTCCAAGAGGAGGTGCAATGATGTCTCTTTAGCGGAGTCACAAAGGCGACATCGATCGCTTAGCCAGATCCCTAGCTAATGTAAGTGTCCTCTGAGTCTACAATGGCTCGTCAAAATACTGCTTAGCTTCTCCTTGGGAAGAGGTATGAGTAGCATGTGCATTTTTAGATTGTACCCTCCTAGTGAGCTCTTAGTTTGAGGAAGTCCCAAGGTGCTGCGCTAGTGCAGTTCCCCCACTTTGGTATTTTCCTTTCTGAGAACTTCCTTCGCCGTATTAAGACTGATCACAAGGAAGCGCTCGGGCTGCATCAACAAGAGTCCCTCACAGGAGTGTGGAGTACAGGATTACACCCAGATACTTCACTTCTGTGACGACGTTGTCCGCGATCCTATCCAAGATTAAGTTCCTCATCCCCAAAAGGAAGACTGTTGTCTTAGAGGGATTGATATTAAGACCCACATCAGCAGACTTCCGACTTGCTAAACTTTTTGTTGTCTGATGTTACCGGCTGTTACCGGCTTCGGTATAAGCAATCTTGGGATGTAGCAGCCTAGCTATCCATCTGCGTATTGTTGGCTGCGCAAATTGCGTTTCTCCAGTGCCCTATCGACGCCAACATGACATGTGTCGTGGAAATTAAGGAAGGCACTGAGCACTGTCTACTGACACTCAAGCACACTTTGTATTTCCATAGTCAGGGCATACAGCGCTGTGTCTGTGGTTCTGCCCATCCTGTACGCGTGCTGTTTGGGATGCAAAGGTGTCTGATTCAGAGTGTTTGACCGGATTTTATAGTCAATAATTTGCTCTATTGCTTTTAGGATAAAGGAGGTGCGGCTTATCGGCCTGAAAGACTTAACGAAAGAGTAATACCTCTTACCTACCAATGCTAGAGTGCCCCTCATGATAAAGACATGGCGTAGAAGTGGGACCTCTCCGCCCTGCATTAGAAGCACTGAATTTATGCCATCCAACCCGGAGGCCTTGTACCGTTCCAATGAGTCCAGCGCCCAACTTTCTGATCTCCAGGTTATTAAGCCTTTGACCATCTTCCAGTCCGAAGGGGACGGCCTCACTACGTGGAACACTGTTTCCTTCGAAGTCGCTATGCCATCCGGGTCCGGGTGGTCCAATAGAAGAGTGAATGCCTTTTCCTTTTCATTACCTTAGTAAGTGCCATAATGAAGCCTAATTGCTAGTCTGGTTGCTATATTGGCCTTGCCAAGACTATGAAATCTAGCAACTGCAAGAGTCGATGAGATATTCGTACAAAAGTTTCTGACGCTGCTACGATCATCTTTTTGAATCGTTTTACTGTATTTTGCTAAGCTGGCTGAATACTCGCCCCTAAGGGCACTTTATAGGGGAGTCAACATGTCCGTATTGTTGTATGATGCAGAAGCTTGGACGATGAAGACGTTTGATGAAGCAGTTTGCGCGTCGGTGGCAGTGAATACCGCAGACGATGGACCGATGAGCTCTATGAGCTTTAAAACCATATATATATAGTGCGGTGGTTACGCTGGCTCGGTCAGGTTTTGCGAATGAACACAAACGCGCCAGCCCTAAAAGTATTCAACGCGGAACCCGCTGCTTGTAGACATCCTCCGCGATGGATAGATCAGGTGGAAAATGACTTACGCTTACCATTTCCAATTGGCGTCAGTTGGCACAATCACATATAAATTTTGGTCTCGATTGGAGACGGATGCCTCTATGGAAAATCAAAAAATTAAAAAGATTTTTTTTTTTTTAATACCCAAAATCGATACTACTAAAGTCGAAGACATCACATATAAATTTTGGTGCCGATTGCAGTCGGTTAAGACGTTTTCATAGGGTAATCTGAACTTTGACCCCTATGCGACACGCCTTAACCGACTCCAGTTGGGGCCAAAATTTATACGTGACATCTTCGACTATAGTAGCATCGACGTAGGGATTGAGGCTTAGCAAATCTGATATAAAAATTTGCTTCCTATATTTAAGGACCGCCCTAATGTCCATACATACTTAGGGCACCCGCATGTTGGTTCATGTAGTCGGATTGTCAAAATGTCATGCATTTGAAAATGGTTTAAAATATTTTGTGGCTTTTGTGAATCACCTATACCTTAAAAGAATTTCTAACACTATGGCAATATGACGCGTTGTGATATGGTATGGGTATTCACCACATTGAGCAAGTGGCCTGGCACTTTGGCAAAACAGCAGATTAGCTCAGGTAATGACTGTTGTAAACACTTGTGATAAGTCAGGTGACATTTTGACTAGTTTTGGTAATTTTTCTTTTGCTTATTTAATATTTATGACTTTGTTATAAAAGTCTAGCACATCAAGTAAACAGCACCACATAAGCCCACATTTCGAACATCTTACAAAAATTCAACAAACTTTAAAATCTACACACACAAATTGTACATATCTTTTTTAAATTTAGTATGTATATCTTTTTTAAGTTTTTATTTACATCAAATTTGACGATGAAATCTTGTTTTTTTTTACGCAAAACGGAAGATAAAGCATTGTCTAATATAAGTGTGGCACCATTTTAAAACACGTTTTTGTCGAAAAATGTAACAGCTCGTGAGATTTGGTTATATCACCAAGGATTTCAATAAATGCACAGTCGGTGTTTATAAGCAGCATTTTCATACAAGCACCGAATCTCGTGAATTTCGATGATGCTTATATCCGGGAAATACTGTACCTCGTAAATCTACTTATTGAATGATAGTTATGGTATGAGATTGATACACTTTGCCTGGATAAACCAAATTTGCGTTATTTATATATTTACGATGTAGTAAAACTGGAAAATAGGATATTCTAACTACCAAACGGAAGATAAAGCATTGGTGTTATGATAAGAACAGTGATTCAGCCGAAATATGTAAGTAATTAATGGCAATGAATTCCCTTTATATACGATTTTTCAAGTATGTTCCAGTTAAAAACAAATGTGTAAAGTGCACTGATCCTTTTGATATTATAAACATTTGGAGAAAAAGTGCCGACGAAAGCTCGAGAACCAAAAGCGTATTTCCAAATGCAACAAAATAGGCAATTTAACTGTAACTGATTCGAATAAATGTTTTCATACAAAAAAAAAAATCGAATACTATTCCGTTTAAATACGCATGAGTAAAAGAACCAAATAGAAGAAAATGTGAATGGCATGAGAATTCGATAAAGAAGAGAAGCCCCGCAGCAAAAACTGCGAAAAATCAACTGCAAACTTACCAATGTGAAACGGAAGTTCTGCCATTTTTTTGTTAAGTTTTGTTTGTGTTTGTCAAAATCGAATACATAGCGAGAAATAAGTGGTGGTGGTTTAGTGTGGGAAAAGAGAAGAGAAACAAATTGAGAAACAAAGAGAATATTTCGATTATGTACAACAGTATTTTTCATTACAAATTAAAAAAAAAAAGATACAAACACATTTGCACGTAAAGAAACTAATACAATGGCAGAATCACGCGCCCACACACAACGAAAACATACATATGTGTGTGTATTTTCGTGTGTGATTTTTTTGCACTTTATTGTTGTCTTTTGCGTCATTTGTAAACAAATTGTTCTGTGCTATTGTTTGATGTTTAATTTTACACTATTTTATACACTTTTTTTTGCACATTTAGAGAATTTTTAATAGCACAGCTGCGCGAAATTGCATGGGGTGAAGAGTAATAAACAATGCAAACTTAAATCAATAATTAAATAAATATAAGTAAATAAAATGAAGTTAATATTTTTTGGTCACAACACCTAAACGCTTTAAAGTTAAAGTTATACAAATTCAAGTTGAGTTTATTAAAAAAAAAAAAATTGCTCAAACTTTGCTTAGCATTAGAAATTTTGAGGCTGTGGAATAAAACCTGCCTAAAGTTAAAAACTTTTAAAATATCTTTTTTGGTTACTTAACTATTAAATTTACCTTTTTGCTTTAAGTTTGCCTCCGCCTGAATGAAGGTATCGTAAAGTATAAAATAAACGTGACTGTAGTTCGTTTCGAATAGTGATTTCGCCTCTTCTTGGTCAACATTGTCTGTAATGCAGAGGTAATGAAAAGTAATTTTAAAATTTTTTTTGAGAAAAAATTAGAGTACGGACATTTAAACGTAAACAATAATTTCATTTCATTTTGTCGGTAGCTTGTCCCGAGAAGATCCCTAACATGCGTTGAAACGGGACCGAAATGGTCCCTTACCAGTCGCAAAATTCCTCCAAAACTATACCTGAAAGACATAGTGTAAGACTCGTCCCGACTTAGTCCTGGAATAGTCGTGAACTATGGAGGAATGATGCTGAAATAGTCCTGAACCAGTCCCGAAATGAGCCTGAACTAGCCCGAAATGAACCCAAACTAGTCTTGAAAAAGTCTTGAACTATTATCGAGCGGTACAGGTCTAGTCCCAAAATTATCCTGAAATAGTCGACATCTAGTCTCGAAATGGTTCTGAAATAGTCCTGAGTAGGTTCTGTAATGATCCCGAACTAGTCGGAACGGCCCCGAAATAGCAAAATGGACCTAAACCTATTACCAAAATGGACCTAAAACTATTACCAAAACCGCCCTGAATTGGTCCCAAATAGAGCCCGAACTAGGCTTGAGGTGGTCAAGAATTAGTCCCAAAATGGTCCATAACTAGTGCCAAAATGGACCAAAAACAGTCCCGAACGCTTTATTATTGACCTACATATTTCGGCAGCCAGTTCGAAAACGCCCTATCTCAGCAAACTTTTCAAGAAAAACGCCCTATCTGAGATCATATTCAATATATTTTAAAGTGGGATACGGCGTTCTTCAACAAAATTCTGAGATAGCGAGTTATCGAACTGGCTGCCGAGATGTAGTATATCTGCACTACTGCACTAAGCTTTATGTTAAGTTATTGTAAATTAGGCATAAGGCGATTTGTGTATAAGTGACAGAGTTATGGGTGTATATCACTTGAGGTAGGCTATCCTTTTGTAAATATTTAGCGGAATAAAGAAACATTCGATTTATGATATCGAGAACGCCGTCACTTAGCCTTCTAAATATTCATAAATTATTAAATTAATCGCAAAGTACCTAAGACGTTCAGTTAACTAAATATTATTTCGCGCGAAATGGACGGCGACTTAGTCAAAACAGAAGAGTATTCACTGATGCATCTACAGGCATTGTTCGCCGCCGTGGCCGTCAATGCAAGCGGCGCTAAAGCATCGTTGGCCGCCAAGTTAGGTTAACATTCGGCAGAAGCTCTAGGATTATGCCCGGGCGCTAACGATAAGGCTATAGAAAAAGGCGGCATTATTTGCGGCAAAGCTCCGCATCCTTCTTTTTCGGGAGGGCGTAGAGCCCAACCACGGGCCAGAAATATACTTCTGCTGCCTTTGCTAGTGACGACCCCATCCAAACTACACTTCAGTTAGATGCAATTCCTGCAACGGATGGAGTCACCTAAGACTCTATTCTGGCCTTAGGTCTTACCGGGAGTTAACCACAAGCTTTTTGACCCCCTGTTGCTCAAGCCAAACGTAACTATCCGCCGCCACGGCTATCCGCTCGCGCTATGCTCAGGTGCGAACCAGCACCCAAAGAGCCTGCACGGCTCCTAGATGCTCCACTGAGCAACAGCAAACCTCCACACCCCTNAATTTACAGAATTTTAATAATTTTTGTACAAAGGTTGAAATCTGAATTTATTCGTTGTTTGTTGTATACCCAGCTTGACTTTTGTATAAAAATAATAAACATTAAATAAACAAAAGACAAATAGCAAAAACTGACCAAAATAACGCACTCCTATTATTTTGTGGACCACTGTATGTGTGTGTATTTTCGTGTGTGATTTTTTTGCACTTTATTGTTGTCTTTTGCGTCATTTGTAAACAAATTGTTCTGTGCTATTGTTTGATGTTTAATTTTACACTATTTTATACACTTTTTTTTGCACATTTAGAGAATTTTTAATAGCACAGCTGCGCGAAATTGCATGGGGTGAAGAGTAATAAACAATGCAAACTTAAATCAATAATTAAATAAATATAAGTAAATAAAATGAAGTTAATATTTTTCGGTCACAACACCTAAACGCTTTAAAGTTAAAGTTATACAAATTCAAGTTGAGTTTATTAAAAAAAAAAATTGCTCAAACTTTGCTTAGCATTAGAAATTGTGAGGCTATGAAATAAAACCTGCCTAAAGTTAAAAACTTTTAAAATATCTTTTTTGGTTACTTAACTATTAAACTTACCTTTTTGCTTTAAGTTTGCCTCCGCCTGAATGAAGGTATCGTAAAGTATAAAATAAACGTGACTGTAGTTCGTTTCGAATAGTGATTTCGCCTCTTCTTGGTCAACATTGTCTGTAATGCAGAGGCAATGAAAAGTAATTTTAAAATTTTTTTTGAGAAAAAATTAGAGTACGGACATTTAAACGTAAACAATAATTTCATTTCATTTTGTCGGTAGCTTGTCCCGAGAAGATCCCTAACATGCGTTGAAACGGGACCGAAATGGTCCCTTACCAGTCGCAAAATTCCTCCAAAACTATACCTGAAAGACATAGTGTAAAACTCGTCCCGACTTAGTCCTGGAATAGTCGTGAACTATGGAGGAATGATGCTGAAATAGTCCTGAACCAGTCCCGAAACGAGCCTGAACTAGCCCGAAATGAACCCAAACTAGTCTTGAAAAAGTCTTGAACTATTATCGAGCGGTCCAGGTCTAGTCCCAAAATTATCCTGAAATAGTCGACATCTAGTCTCGAA